CTCTTCTCTTGGATTTTACTGTGAGCGTCTGACTGGGTCTGTCACGTTACAAAGACGCTGGAAATTGTTTTTTGGTACATAAACACTCACAAATGTAATAAGTGGACCTCAGGGAAAACATGATGTACAAGAAGAATGTAGAATGTAGGTTCAACCTAAGAGCCAAATCGTGATGTGCCATTTTGCGCTGGTGCAGACTCGCCAGACCGCCACTGTTTCTTTTTTTCATCTGCTGTGCTACTAAATTAGAACCAGGAAATACTAGAGAAAAACTACACACAACAGTGGCTCAGTGATGCTAACAGGCCAATACTTATGCAACACCGAACACATTTGAGTTTGGTTGCCACTCCAACACAGACAGTCATCTTCCTACTCTCAGAGTGTTTATCCTCTAAATGGGTCACATTTGAGGGTCAGCTAGCTGGAACCAAGCCTGCACTGTGATGGGTGACACCTTTAGCCTGCTATCTATGCTAGTGTGTTTTTATCCCAGTGGGCTACAGCTCAACACCATTCATTCAACTTTGCTCCCTCAGACATTAGTTTTTAACATCTACATTTGTAACAGCAGAGCAGCAGTTAGTCAAAATTGAACCTGTATTGCACTGTTTGCCTCTGTAGCTGACTAGCTAAGCTAAAAAAGAGTGCTCCTACCAAGGAAAGAGGATCCAGCTCAGCATTGGCCTAGTTAGGAGGCTACAGATCCAAACACCAAACTTTGCTTACTCAGATTTAGGTCATTATCATCTAAATGTCAGTCAGTGTAACTGTTATCCGGAATTATACAACAGTTAGTTCCGGCCCCGCAAGCTGATTGGTTGAGAAGCGTTCTAACTGTGCTGTTATTTCGCCATAACATCACAGGTTTTTCCACAAACACTGTATCACTCCGCTGGGACGCCATTGCTAAGCAACGACTTTGACCGCTGTAGGAGACGCTTGAACGTTTTTACTTCTTACTTTGCCACAAACAGAAAATGGACACTTTTAAGATCACATTTGACCGACAGCCGATTTGGTCAGACTCTGAAGACGAGACTACACTAAATTCCCAAACTGTCAGTTGGTCTGTGTGGAGCTGGAGAACGAACTGCCGGCTGAGCAGCGAGTGGGCGGAGCTCGTTACTCTGACGTAGCAACAAGCTGCTCGTTAAGGAACTATAATTTGGTGAAGGAACTGCGAACATTAGAACATATTAAACGCCGCGTTCACGGCCCAGTTTATTAATTTATTACTTTATTTATTTACCTGTTGTATTAAAGCAATAGAACACTCGAGGAGTGTGTTATCGCCAATAACATCACGGCTGTGATGATCTACGGCGACCAAATCACAGCCATGATGTTATTTCATGATAACACACTCCTTCTCGTGTTCTATTGCGTAATCGAATCTGTTCTGTGGTGAGTAGAGCCTGTTGCATTGGTCCTAGTTAGCAGTGCTGTTTAACATCTACCAGTTGTTGCTAAATTGAGGGTTTGCCATTTATTGAACGGTGGGTTATAAATCATGTACTGCTTTCATTTATTTGGCGATTGTGTAAGCAAACTGAACTCATTTGATTGTTTTCGGTTTTGAACTTACGCAGGATGAGGTGGCGCAATGCTGATATACACTAATCAGCGAACAGGTACGTCATTAGGTCATCACATGGAATGAATCAGAGTCCCTGAGCACAGGTAATCATGTCGAGAAGCCGCAGGGAAGTATCTGACACACTCCCTCTCGGTCTTATGCCTAAATATCACATAACAATTATATCACAATTGAATCAGCGTACATTACATTACATTGATGCAAATGGAAATTGAAAGGAGGGAAATGACAGTTTTCCAAGGGGGATGGCATTCCCTTGCATAACCCAAATCGAGCCCTGGCTATTGGGGGGGTGGTTGTCTGATCGACCTCACAGCACAGCGCAGCCCTGAACTGGGTCACTCTGTCAGCAGCTCGCTGCCCCAGCAGTGCTCATATTTACCCGTGGTAAAGTGGTGCAGCATCTAAAGGCCCTAATCACAGAACAGCAGAGGCAGCACTTCGGTCAGGAACGATTAGATGTTCTACGCTGAAGACCTGAAGGTCGTGTAGTCCCTGAGAGTGGCGCCGTGGTGCTCAAGCCCCGCGGCGAGATGCTCTCCGGTCCAGCTGATCTCCTCCAAACTTAGAGGCGTAACAGGCTGCGCCGCGTGCAATCCGTCAGTTTGGATTGGAGACCACCCGTTCACAAATCTGTCCATTCAGCACCATTCAGCATCAGGCATGTCCCTGGCACAGTATCACCCCTTCGCAGCGAAAAAGAAACAGAAGGCCTTTGCAAATAAAACTGATTTATTATGTGCAGATTTCTGTGTGTGGCCCATTATCCTAAATTCAATAATTTATGAGATCTTTATTTATTTATTTATTTTAGGGGACATTTACTCACTGCATTCATGCTTCGCAGGAAATGGCGCGATAGTGTGAGAGCGCTGGTCTGATGTTAAGAGCTACAAAGTGAGCAATTTTCTTTCCATTGCTGGAGGTTGTTTTCAGTAGCCTGTGTGGTTGGGTAAATTTCCCTAGAGAAAGTGCTGGAAGAAATTTCGCTTTTTAAGACAGGCCAGCGCAGAGCTGGTAATGAAACACAAGGCTTTAGTGGCTTTTGTTACAAAGATCGTGTTTGAGAAAATGTACACACTCCTCTCCCCAAAATCCAAAGCGTATTAGAGTGCCACAAAGTGTGATTTATTGTGGGAATTTGTTCTTTTGACATGCTAACAGATCGGGAACCAGTAACGGATAGCTTGAATTATGAACACTTGAATGCGAAGCTCGCTATTGTTGTTCCCAGCTGATTACAGACTGACAGAAATGCAAATCAAAAGTTCAATTTACACAACTCTATGTAACAGCTGCCAAACGTAAATAATAAACCCTGCAAATCTGTATCAGCCCTCTGAGCGCACTATTTTTCACTTCGACACTGTTTTCATGAAGAACGTCTCCTGTCAACCTGTGATTAAGAGTGGAGGCTCCTCAGAAGCTTCTACTCTTTAACTCTATGTACATTTGGTAAATAAAGCAGTGCTAACTTGCAAACTAATGACATTTGATGTAATGACGTAATTTTCCATTGATGGGAATTTGTGCAGTTTAGGTTGGAGGCGCAGTGGGTAGCGCTGTCGCCACACAGCGAGAATGGCCTGGGTTTGATTCTGGGTGACCAGTGTCATTTCTGTGTGGAGTTTGCCTGTTCTCCCCGTGTCTGCGTGGGTTTCCTCCGGGTACTCCGGTTTCCTCCCACAGTCCAAAAACATGCAATCAGGCCAACTGGACATGCTAAATTGCCCCTAGGTGTGAGTGTGTGTGTGTGTATGTCTGTCTGTCTGCCCTGCGATGGACTGGCGACCCGTCCAGGGTGTATCCTGCCTTCCGCCCAATGACAGCTGGGATAGGCTCCAGCACCCCACCGTGACCCAGAAGGATAAGCGGTTTAGATGGTGTGTGTGTTAGGTTGGAGGAATAGCTTGACATGTTAATGTGGCCAACAGTGAATGGAAGCTAGCCATTGATTACCATGACCTATTTTACATAATGCTAATTGTACAGGTTTGAGCCGTGCACATATGCTTGCAGTATGAGAAGAGATTCTATGACTGAAGGAGAGGAGAGAACTTTGAGAACTTGGGCTGAAGTTCTGAGCAGTTTTTGCTTTAAGCTAGAAGGCCGGACCCCACTTTGATGAACTGAGTTTGGACTGAGAGATAGGACTGAGGAACAGGGAGGAGATAGGGTGGTGGTGGGATACGAAAACCTCATCACTGGAAAGAAGGTCCAGATGGATGATCTAAGTACGGAGGAGGAGCTGCAGGCATGGTCCTCCTCTCAGACATGACTTATTCCATAATTCCATTTGTGGTCTTTTTTTTTCACCATTTTTTTCAACATTAGCCTCTTTAAACCAATTTAAACATATTTTGTGAAAAAGTTTTAAATACAGACTCAGATATGGTCAAGTAAATGTCTTTTTCAGTTCCCATATTGGACCATGGATCATACCTAGTTCCTAATACCTCCTTAGTCAAGTTGAATGACGTTGGCATTACTATGATTTTATAGTCCACAGTGCAAAAAAAATGAATGTCCCAAATACGAAAATTAGTTTCAGTGAATCCAAAATAAATTCCAGTTCAATTTGCTTATTTACTCACTATTTTTATGTCTCATAAGTTGCTGCTCTGAAGGCAGACCATTCCACCCTCTGGCCTCCCACATTGACCAGAATGTTTACTTTAGATTACCTGTTCAATGCTTTAAAATGCTAAAAAATAAATGTATTTTTCAGGTTGTAAATGATCCGTTTGAAAACAGATGACCATAGATGAGCTGTATTAGGAATAAGAGGGAGATAAATAGATTTAGGGCTGTCTGTGTGGTGTTGAGGGCTACCTGGGGAGATATGTTGTTAAGAAATTGTACCTTTCTGTGAGTAATGGGTGTACAATTGTGTCAGTAGCCCCACTATAGATTTTAGGGGGCTCAATTGCTGCAGGCCACCACGTGCCATGGAGGGTTTCTGAGCTATCTGTCATTGACGCTCGATAGTTTATTGGATGGTGGGAGAGGGAGGTTAAATGTCATAATGCCCACTGGTCACAAATCAGAAGAAGTTTTAGAGGTAGGCATTATTTTTTGATGGAAAAACAAGAATTTTATAAAAATCTTTTAAAAGTCTCCAACTTTTGCCTTCCAAAGTGTATCACTGGAAGTGAGCTGCTTAGGCAGGAGAGAACCATTTGAGAGAAGTTCTCCATTCACTTCAGGCTGATTTCAGTCCAGTGATAAAGGCACACCTGAATTTTATAAACATTTTCATTTTTATGATGAATCATACCTAATATGACCAGGGACATGATCTAGCGAGATAAAAAGGTCAGGTTGACTTTAACATCTGACACTTTCATTACATTATAGCAATTTTTCCAATTTAATAACATCCCCTGCTCTTTCCTCATAGGAGTCGTCTACACCACCAGTGTTCTGGACCGTGAGAAGCAGGACTCCTACTGGCTAACTGTGTACGCCACTGACCGAGGGGTGGTGCCTCTCTCTGCCTCTGTTGAAGTGTTTGTCCAGGTGGAAGATGTCAACGATAATGCCCCGTTGACCTCAGACCCTGTCTATCACCCCTTCGTCATGGAGAACTCGCCCAAAGATGTTTCTGTGGTCCGCGTCCAGGCCCAGGACCCTGACGTCACTTCCTCTGCCAACCGGCTCACTTACCGCATCACGGCTGGAAACCCACAGAACTTCTTCACTATCAATTCCAAAACAGGTGGGAGTGGGTTGTTATGATGGCCTTGGCTAGTTTGGGTGTCTTTTTTGACAATTTGTGTACCTAAAGCTCCAGTTAGGACTGCCACAGCACACCAGGGGAGAGTTCCACAAAGCAGGATTTCTTTGTAAACTGGACAGCTTAAGCCAAAAGTGAGGACTGTCCAACAGCAATATCTCTCTTAATAATGAAAGTGTCAAAAAGGGTTGGAGCAAAGCCATAACAGAACCACTTGAGTCCCTAAAGAAACTTTTAATGGATGGTCCTTTGAAAAGCCATTTTCTAAAATGAGAAATGGGAACAGCCTTTTTAAAGTGTAAAGAATGACACCGTATTATCATGGTTCTGTACCAATTTGGGCCGGTTCCCCAGACCCAGGTTAGGCCTAAGGGTAAACTTTAAATTTAAATTTTAATGATCAAACACCACAGATATTGCAGGATTAGGGTACATAAAAGAGGCCCTAAAAGATTTTAACTAGAAGTTATACATCCAAGCCAAGAACCACAGTTCTTCTTCTCTTATTGGGCTTAAGTTAACTAGCTAACTGAGAAATCCTGCATTGTGAAATACCTCATAGGAATTCAAGCTAAATGTATATATGTTTGAGTTTACGTGAGCGTTGCAGTAGTGTTGTTCTCCAGCACCAACATCTCTTCAACCCTCTTCAGCAGTGTCCGATGCAGGCTTCAGGCAATGCTGCAGATGTAGTCAGTATGCTTAAAACATTTTAAAATGTCTGAATTTTGGAAGCAAGCCACCACTACCAGGGATGGAAACCGACCTCATTAACTCCATCCCTCACTGGCTCCAAAACTATTTCCTTTCTGCAAAATGTGAATGCTCACGGGGGCAAACAGGTCCACCTGCATTGTCCACAAAGTTCACAACTTTCCACTATGTGAAAATCTGTTAAAAGTGTCTGTTTTCCAACTTTTGGAAAGGTCAGTATGATAATACAGGAAAAACTCTTTGAACACAACAGAGAAAGAGTATTTTTGATATATAAATTTTTCCTCTTCCATGAATTTTACCATTATACATCTTTTGCATTCACTTTGGAGGTCATTCCAAAACCTTAAACACACTTAAAACAAATGTGAGACAGCTGTGGGAGAGCAGGGTGCAAGCTGCAGGCAAGCTATTGTGATTGCGATCTCATTATAACACAGCAGGATGAATAAACACTCATAGAGATATTGATAGTTGTTCTGTATTAAACTTGATGACATTGAAGAAATAGAATAAGGTACAGATGATGAGGATGAGGCCCTCAGTGGGAATGGGTACAGGGATAAGGATGAGGATAGGAATTAGAATGAGGATGAGGATGGTTTTTATCTACAGAATACATAAGACATAACGCTGTTGTCGGAAGAAAATCTCCAAAATCATCATCAAACTTACTTTTAATGTAAGTCAATGGAACCAGACTTTTTTTCAAGGTCATTTTGGGTCATTACTTTTAGCCCATTCATCATGAAATTTACACACAATGTAAAGGCCAACATTTTTCAAATTATGTCAAAAACTGAAAAACGTCAAAATTGGAGATATGAGGTTTTCCTCCAACAACAGCGATAAGTAAGAACACAGATCAACAACATGAATACAAACTTAACTGATGAAACATGGAGTATACAACCAACACACCAACACAAACTCCTGGTAGAGACAATACAAACATGGCAATAACATACAAAACAGAATAAAGATGAGAAATCAAATACTTATGATGAACTGCATGAGGAAACACACTTACATAGGCCCCCAGCTTTGGCCTTCCAAAGTGTATCACCGGAAGTGAGTACTTAGGCACAAGAGGACCATGTGAGAGAAGCTCTTCATTCACTTCCATTCATTTCGAGCTGATTTCAGTCCGATGATAAAGGCACACCTGAGCTGTTGTAGATCACTTTTACATCCTATTCTAGAGAGACTGGGCTGTGTGTCATTGATTCACAGCTCAACCATCCCTTTATAGTGTCAAAATAAACGTTTATCCTTGATGATGTATGAAATAATGTGATAAAGCTGCATCTTGAATCACTGCACTATAATATTTGAAGTAGTTCTTCAATAATATAAAGCACTGAGCGGGTTCAGTATATTATAATAATAATCAAAATAATAATAATAATATCGATAAAAATGCGGCACGGTGGCGCAGTGGGTAGCGCTGTCGCCTCACAGCAAGAATGGCCTGGGTTCGATTCCCGGCCGGGCGACCAGGGTCGTTTCTGTGTGGAGTTTGCCTGTTCTCCCCGTGTCTGCGTGGGTTTCCTCCGGGTACTCCGGTTTCCTCCCACAGTCCAAAGACCTGCAGTCAGGCTGATTGGACATGCTGAATTGCCCCTAGGTGTGAGTGACTGTGTATGTCTGCCCTGCGATGGACTGGCGACCTGTCCAGGGTGTATCCTGCCTTCCGCCCAATGACAGCTGGGATAGGCTCCAGCACCCCACTGTGACCCAGAAGGATAAGCGGTTTAGATGATGTATGTATGTATGATAAAAATGATAATAATTCTAAGTCTACAGTATATTTTACACAAACAACTAGTGATGGAGGAAGTAGTAACTAAAATTCATAATGTGGTGAAAGTGTACTTTCATGCGGAATGGTTGTGATGATTTATGTTCCCTTCAACACTTTCACAAAAATTTACTGGGCAGCTCCCAAACAGTTTGGTTATTTGCACCACATGGTTTATATTTGCATCATTAAGGTTTCTGTGCAGCCTCACACTATCCGCCGCATGAGAAGCCAGTATTTAGACATCCAAGTAAAGGAAACCTCCAAACAGTCTTCAGTCCATACGGCAATGCATGGTAAGACAACGGCTGTCTGTCACCCTTTAAACCATTAGCCTCAAGTTAATGCCAGCTCCTCCTGGGGAATGTCCAATAAGTAAGATACAAAAAAGGGTTCATAGTCAGGCCAACCTAAAATTATAAGGCAAGCTATGTAAAGCTTTATCTCAACGCGACTCAGTTTAGTCAGAAATTCTCAGAAACTCACATTTTTTTTTTGCTGAAAAAAAAAACAAACAAGCAAACAAACAAACAGGGAATGTGGTCTCACCAGGGTGGTCTTTATCTATTCCCATGAGCTGGCTACAATTCCCCAGTTGAATGATGCCCCCAGGCTGGGGGTGAAGGCTGAGTGCTTCGTCCTCTTGGACTCCTGAGCACTCAGGATGACCTGATGATCAGTCAGTTTGACAGCTGCACCACTCAGCAGCCACAAGATTACCAGTAGAAAGAATAAAACGATATTTAAATACCACAACAATTCAGTAATAATAAAACAATTTGGCTCACATTCATTTCATCACCAGTAGCCTTCTTTATCTAAGCAGAGTCAGTGCTGTCTGTTTGAACACCATGTACCTTTTCAATCTTTCTTGGACACAGCAGCAACTTTGTGGCTTCAGTAGCAGAATGGCCAGTTATCAGGAGATCGTGACTTCGTATCCCACCATCATCCAAGCCCTTTATGGCTGGGAGTCTGAGTGGAGGACGCAGTCAGCTTTTACCCCCAACCCCAGCCTGGAGTATCATGCAAATGGGGAGTCCTAGTCAGTGGGTAGCAGTTAACAGAGAGTAGAAAACAAAGTAAAAATCCAACAGAACTATGGGAGGCAAATCCAGCCAAAAAAGAAATTAAAATTAAAACCATAAAATGAAAATGCAAACCTCTTTTTGCCATTTCTTTTTCCAAACATCTGCGCAAATATCCTGCCAAAACTGAAAATGAAATGAAATGCCTACATTTGCAATTTCATTTTTCACATGAGCACGAGCCATTTGTGACAAAAATAAAAATAAATGTAAAACAGCTATTTGTCATTTCATTTTAGTCGTTATTCTGGGTTTTTCATGGCCAAATCTAAAATGAAAAAGCTAATAGAGAAAAGAAAATCCAAGCTTCACTTTGGCTTTTCTCCATGAAGTGCAGAATACGGGTCAAAACTAAAATCAAAATGCAATGTTTACATTGTTATTTCTTTTTCACAGCAATCGGCTGCAGATCTGACTAAATGAAAATGAAAAGGCAAAACTGATAAATCAACAGCAAAGTGACGGTTTGTGATTCAGTTTTCGGCGTCGACGCGCTTTAAGTGTCAGAATTAAAAGGCAAATGCAAACGAACATCAGCGCCACCTGCTGGACATTTACTTTTCATTTTCGACTTTTCGATTTCGTTTTCAAATTGACCAACATGCAAATATATGTTAATATATGTTAATTAGCACTAGGCGAGGTCCTCGGACCTCTGAGTCAGAACGGCATCATTCCTCAAGCTAAATGACTTCGAGTCTCGAGAAAATCCATCGTGATGACTCAGATCTGGTGAAACTGAACGTCAGCACAAACACCGTCAGACCAAACGGCCTCAGAGAAAAGGTGTCAGACCAAACGCAGGCCTGGTCGAGCATAGACTGGTTCATATAACTTAGAAAACTATTATGTATCTCGATATAAATGCCAGTACAACATTTCCAGTTTTTTCTGACGTTCAGTTTCACCAGATCTGAGTCGTAACGATGGATTTTCTCGAGACTCGAAGTCGTTTAGCTTGAGGAATGATGCCGTTCTGACTCAGAGGTCCGAGGATGTCCTAAATTGTACCCCGTAGCCCCGCCTAGTGCTAATTAACATATATTTGCATGTTGGTCAATTTGAAAACGAAATCGAAAAGTCGAAAATGAAAAGTAAATGTCCAGCAGGTGGCGCTGATGTTCGTTTGCATTTGCCTTTTAATTCTGACACTTAAAGCGCGTCGACGCCGAAAACTGAATCACAAACCGTCACTTTGCTGTTGATTTATCAGTTTTGCCTTTTCATTTTCATTTAGTCAGATCTGCAGCCGATTGCTGTGAAAAAGAAATAACAATGTAAACATTGCATTTTGATTTTAGTTTTGACCCGTATTCTGCACTTCATGGAGAAAAGCCAAAGTGAAGCTTGGATTTTCTTTTCTCTATTAGCTTTTTCAT